CCACCACAAACCCTTATCTGAGCTCCAAATGGATCCAAAGTAGAAGAGGTTGAAAAAGAGAACTTCAATCAAGGTATATAGAAATATTCTGAGCCCAGAAACAGAGAATCTACATTTTTTGTTTGTTTTGAAATGTCTGAATTTACACAAATGAGACAAAGTACGTTTTCATTTTGTGATTTTTCCTTAATTTTGAATTTTTTTTCTCAGAATATATGCAAAGGGATGCTACCATTTACATTTTTTTTTTTGGTGAGCTGTCTATCCTGAACAGAGAAAAATTTATGAAATAAAAGAAGGACCTACCAATAAAAATCACTGACACCTTATTTTTTACCTAACAGCCTCTCAAAAGCAGATCTGGACTATGTGAACCTAGGTTCTCAAGTCTTTATATCTTGAAAGCTGTTAACAAGGCAGATTAATTTCTTTCTGTCTTCATCCCTGTTTGCCTTCCTCCCTCCTTCCTTTTCATTATACCTTGTATTTATAATGTGAATATATAGTACAGGCATACCAACATTCCCATCATAGAGGAGCTGGGAGGAGAAGAGAGAGCACACAAGAAATTGAAAACCTATTTTTAAAAATAATGATGGGGTCAGGAATCCAGGCATGGCTTAGCTAGGATGGTGAAGGAAATAGACATACAAGTCCAGGAAGTGCAGAGTCCCAAATAAGATGAACCCAAAGAGGCCCACACCAAGACACATCATAAATAAAATGCAAAAGATTAAAGACAAAGAGAGAATCTTAAAAGCAGCAAGAGAAAAGCAGTTAGTTACCTACAAGGGAGCACCCATATGACTGTCAGCTGATTTCTCAACAGAAACTTTGCACACCAGAAGGGAGTGGCGTAAAATATTCAAAGTGATGAAAAGCAAGGACCTACAACCAAGATTACTCTACCCAGCAAAGCTATCATTTAGAACTGAAGGAGAGATAAAGAAGCTTACCAGACAAGAAAAAGCTAAAGGAGTTACCACCACCAAACCAGTCTTACATGAAGTATTAAAGAGAAGAAGAAGAAAAAAGATTAAAAATGTGAACAATAAAATGGCAATAAATACATCTCTATCAACAATAGAATCTATAAAACAAAATAAATGAACAAGGGGAACAGAAACAGACTCACAGATACAGGCAACATTTTGATGGTTGCCAGACAGAGGGGGTGTTGGGTGAAACGATGAAGGGGTTAAGAAGTACAAATCGTAATAAGAAGAACAGTCACGGGGATGTCAAGTACAGCATAGGGAAGATAGTCAATAATATTCTGATAACTATGTATGGTATCAGATGGGTATGAGATTTATCAGGATGATCACTTAGTAAGTTATATAATTTCTAATCACCTGAAACTAATGTCAACCATAATTGAAAACTAAAAAATGATTTTTAAAAAAGTTAAAAGTACACAAAATAAAATTGCACTTATCTAGGAAGAATTCTATACTATATTAGCTCTTATAATAAAGGGTAAAATAAAAATAAAATCTTTAAAAATTAAATTTTAATTACAAACATCCAATTACTGTCTATGCAATGAAAACTACCAACTGAATTATTAACTTATCTTTCAAATTATGTCCTGCAGAAACCTTGAGAACTCAGAACCAGTATAGATTTGATTTTCAAATTAAAAAACAAACAAAAAAGGAGATAGTTCGTAATGCAACTTTATTGAACAGCAAATACAATTTAAAAAAAAAAAAAAAACAGCTTCAGAAGAACACAGTATCACCTCAGTGTTGAAATCTGAATTCTAACAATAGTATTCCGCAGTGGGCAGTGCTATCAGATCAGCTACAAAAATGCTGCACCTTGGTCCACCCCTTCCTGTTTCTAGTGAATTCACTTTCCTGGTATCTGAGTCCCTGCTTGAGACTGGAGCCCAGCCCTGAAATCCCAGAGTGGGAATTTAACCCCACCGTGTTAAGATTATACATTAGGCATTGTTCTAAGTGCCAAATACAAGTGACAAAAATCCCTTCTCTTATGGAGCCTGAGACACAGATGAGTAGTGTTTGCCCTCCAAACTCTTCATTTTGGAACATCCTGATAATCCCTCTGGTGCTCCCTGGTAACCAATTTCTGGAATGTGACCAAGCTCATGAAATCCCTAAACACAGTTCCTTATTTACTTAGCTGAACCCTTCCTATCAGCCAGCCTAAGCTGCTCTACTAAACAAACAAATGCCAAGTTTGTGTCCTTGTTCATGTGATTTGCTTTGCTGTGAATCATGAAAGAAGTGCTGTCTTTGGGAAGACTGTTTTGAGCTGAGTTTGAAGTGTTGCTTCAACTGTGATATATCTTAAGATTGTGCTGTCCTACGTGGCAGCCACTAGCCACATGTGGCTATTCAACACCTGAAAAGTGGCTGATTGGACATAAGTGCTTTAAGTGTAAAACACATATTGTATTTCAAAGAATCAGTACAAAGAGAAAGAAAGATTAAATGTTGAATAATACATATTTGTTAAATAAAATATTAAGTTTAGCTATATCTTCTCACCTTTAAAATGTGGTTACTAGATAATTTAAAACTGCTCATGTCATTTGCATTATGTTTCCACTGAACTATGCTAATTCATAACATTTAACTAATGGCAGCAACAAGAGTCATTATTCTGAGAGGTTTGTTATGTCTAGATATCATTAGAAAAATATTTAAAAGTAAAACTCCTTTGCAGAAAAACTGCGAGCTAATAAATGCTGAAGGAATGTTAGATTAGATTATCACCATTTTGCAATCTCCACTGGAGTAACTGATTCAGATGAGCATCATCAATGGATGCTAAGACGACTGGCAAATGGTCGAAGAGGACATTCATCCAGTGGCAAAATTACACCCTGTAGATTATTTATAAAGTGCAACAAGAAGACCTGGTCCTCACCGCTTCTAACAAACGATCAAACTTAGCACATGAATAATGTTACAATTTGCCATTACGTACCTCTTGATATGTGGTAAATTGAGATAAGCATTATCTACAAAGCATTTTGCCCCAATGTTTTATTGAAAAATTTCAAACATACAGCACAATGACAGAATTTATGGCAAAAATCTGCACTCATACTATCTAATATTTTACCACACAATACTGACTTTATAACATTTCTTTCCATCTCCCTATCCATTTTACTTTGATGCATTTCAAAGTAAATTACAGCCATTAGTACATGCCCTCCCTAAATAATCTATGAAGTATTCTTGCCAAAAATGTTTAAACTGAATCTAATCAAGCCTCTAATCCTAACTACCACTTTACGGGAAATATAGAGGGATAAGTTAATTGACACTGAGAAAAAATTAAAAATCCAAAACATGGGACATTCTGTAATATTAAATGGTTTAAAAAGTTTGTCATGAAAAAAGTTTGAGTGACTAGATTTGAGTCTTAAAACACATAACAACAAATTCCAACTTGTCAACCTAAATCAGATGCTATTCAATTTTTAAAAAGCTACAAAAGACATTCCTACAACAACTAGAGAAATATGAATGTGGACTAGATATTAGACAATATTAAGGAGTTATTAATTTTCTTAGATGTGATCACAGGGACTGCGGTATATAGGCGAATACCCTTTTTTTTGGAGATGAACACTAAAGAGTGTGTGTGTATGCATGCACACATAAATATTTAATTTATTCATTTATTTTATAGGAATAATGCAAGTATAGCAAAATCTTAATTATTGTATAGAAGAAGAGGGTAAAGAGATGTTCACTGTGTTGGTCTTTCAACTTTTCTGTACATTGCAATATTTCAAAATAGAAATTGGTGGGCAGGTAGCCTGGCTGGTATTGCTCAGTGGTTGAGCACTGACCCATGAACCAGCAGGTCATTTTCAATTCTAGGTCAGGGCAATTCTAGGTCGGGTTGCAGGCTCAATCCCCAGTAGGGGCCATGCCAGAGGAAGCCAACTGATGATTCTCTCTCATCACTGATGTTTGTATCTCCCTCTCCCTCTCTCTGAAATCAATAAAAACATACCAAAAAAAAGGGAATTGGGGGGGCAAGTAGATTAAAAACTCACTGCTTTGGCCTGCTTGGGTTTTTTGGGTGAAGGATGTGATCTCTGAAAAAATACCTTACCACAGACTCACAGAAAAATAAGTCTCTATAACATTCTTTATTTCTGCCTCAGAGCCAATGCTATTATTAGCTAAGAGTCTTCAATATGCAGTATTACAACTGGTAATTTAGTCTGTAAGCAAAGGCTTTTAATGCTGTAGTATTACAGAAGACAGCTCAATCACAAGGTCACTTAACTTGAGATCAGGCTCACTGCCACCAGTCTGTGTTACGCACAGAGACAGTCTGTCATACAACTTCAGATTTTGCTTTATATACCACTTGTTAAAAAGTATCCTGCAATAGAATTTGCCTATTCCTGGCAACCTTAGACACAAAGGTTTCTGTGATCTTTTCCCTTAAGATTTTATTCTACTTTCCAACCTATTGCTGCTCCTAAATTCATCAGTACAGCTTCACCCTTAAGTCCAAAGACACACTCATCAGCCAGGTAATTAGAATTAGAAACAGAAAAGCATTGGCAGAGGTCATTGGATATGGTATAACATGAACTAAATGAAAGAATAAGTTTATACTACTAATTAAAACAAGATTTACCAAAAAACCCCAAAACACTAGACATGGAATATTATGTGTTTACCTATAGTTGAGGAAAACAAAAACTGCCCACTGACAACCAAGACCTTTCTTTCAAACTTTGGTTAGAAATATCATATAAACTGGGAACAGAGGCACCTTGGAGGAAGGAGTGAAAAAGACTAGACGATATTAGACACTAAATTAAAAATTGGTACAATTAGGGCTTAGGGTTTTATAGTTAAGAGCATTCTTTGGCTTAAAGGAAAAACAGTAAAGTTTGAAACTACCTTGGTGAAGAAAAGGCAGCACATGGATTCAATAAAATAATTCATTACATACATTTCATTTCACATGCAATGAAAGAAAATGATATTTACCAGGGTTTGTCTTCTCAAGCTGATACCATCGGTAAAATGCCCTTTTCTTCTGTTCACTCAGGTCTGATCCCTGTTGCAACAGCCAGTGAGAGATCCGGCTCTGGCTGATACCTATGTAGAAAGAGAAATCGCTGTTGCAAGTACTGAAGTTAACAAGAAGTTATGGAGGGTTCTGTTGGTTCTGGGTTACTGGGTTCTTTGTTTTCTTCTCTATAAGGAAGCTGCAACTTGAACAAACTTTTATATTGGGCTTCTTTGTAAAGGCTGACTACACAGGGTAGGATACATTCAGAATTATCTACTAGAGGTCATAGCCTTTTATTAACCAACATTTGAAAGTGGTCTCTAATATCTATCTCTAAACTGGTCCATAACTATGAAGCACATGAAGAGATTCCTAAGAGTCATTTGTCAAAAGTTGATTAGATTTGTGCTCCTTCAACCACAACCACCTCCACTCCAATCCTGGTTTAGAATATTAGAACTTTTACTAGATATTGAGGAGAAGAAAAATCAAACCGGCAAGTTTTGCTACTCATTACTGATACTGATAAAATGACTTAGGGGCTGGGGAAAAAGAGGTAATTGAAAATACTCTTCAATAAGGTTTCTGGCTTACTTGTTAATTCATTTAGGCATTTTAGATTCATTACCATTAGTACAGAGAATTGAGAATTGGAAGACTTAGAGTTCTGCTACAATATGACCTCTTAAGAAATCTCAAGAGGTAAAGACAGTCTTCTAACACAGACTTTTCAAAAAACTGAATAGAATATAAAGCAGTAGTTTTCAGCTTAACCAAGAAGCTCTTGACAGCAATTAATTAGAAATGGGGAAAACCTCCACATGTGAAAGTAAAAAAGCATGTCTGAAACTGACGAGTATGAGAATTACATGCTCCTTCTGGTCATTATAGTTATTCCAAAAATGAATAATTTAACACACAACTGGCAAAAGCAAAGAATAATAGGCAAGATTAAACTGTCTTATATGACCATACGGCACTTTCTAAAGGGCTGGTCAGCAATCAGAGAGGGTTAACAGTATCTTAACTCTCCCAAGGAATTACTTACGGTAACTGGATAGTACTGAATATCACTTGTGCCACCTGTTTAAACACCTGTTTAAAACTATAATGCACAACAGGAAGAGTGGTTATCATGAAGAAATCACACCCCCTAACATGAGAAGAAGCAGAAGGGATGGTGATCACATTTAACTCAGTAAAAACAAGCCCCTAGGGTTTCATACTTTTAAAAACCTATGTCAGAAGAGAATCTGAGGAAACGGGGGAGGGGAGTTTTGTTAAAAGACAAGTTGGGCTGTAAAGCAAGATTCTCTGATTGGAATCACCTTTAACTTTCAAAGGGTGAAATTCAGTTTTCCAAAACCTAAGTGATTACATCCTCAAATAATTCACACAGCACTTTTCCAATGAATTGAACATCTATGTGAGGCAGATGCTGGCAGCTAGCACTCTATGCTTGTTCTAAGAGAATGCAAATTATTTAACATTGGCTGTGTTTAGCAATGCCTTCTTCACCACAAGTCCAGATTCAGACATTACACTACTTTTAAAGAAGAGTGAAGAAAACAACCATTTTCCACCATGAAATCAAATATGATTTTCATGTTAACAAAATAAAACATTTTTATATGGATTCTTCACATTGGTACCATACTACTCAAAAACAAAGAGAATTTAAGGAATCAACTGTTCTGTTACTTTCAGCACTGAATCTCCCTCACACAGTCAGATCACACAGAACAAACACAGAGCCCACTAGATTTTAGTGCTGTCCAGGTTCTGGCTGTGCTACAGTAAAAGAGGGCAAAAGCCCATCAAAAGAAGATTGGTTTAAATTATGGTATACTCACATAATAAAAAACTGGGCAGACTTTTAAAAGTAATGTTCTAAATCAACCGCCAAAAACAACCAACCAAAACCAAAACCAACCAACCCAAAAGCCATCAACACCAAGTTTTGGCAAGGACAGAGTATATGGAATTCTCATAATGCTGGTAGAAAGGTAAAATGTCAGAGTCATTTTGAAAAACTGGGCAGTATCCACTATTGCTGACCATATGCATTCCATATGACCTAGCAGTTTATTTATTTATTTTTTTATTGATTTTAGAGAGAGGGCGAGGGGAGAGAGACAGAGAAAGAGAGTGATTGGTTGCCTCCTGCATGCTCCCCGACCAGGGCTTGAACCCAGAAGTTGGGTATGTGCCCTGACCAGTAATCAAACCCACCACCTTTTGATATACAGGACAATGCTCCAACCAACTGAGCCAAACTAGCTAGGGCAACCTAGCAAGTTTCTTCCCTCAGTATATGGCACACAGAAATGTATACATGCTCAGTAGCAATGTTTTCAAAAGACATGTATATAAGGCTTATATGAGCATTATTCATAATAGCCCCCAATTTGAAACAACTCAAACACCCATCAACAGGAAAATGCATAAATGTGATACTTATGCATTCTACCATAGACTACTGTATCAAAGAGAGAAAGGACAAACTACCGCCATATGCAACCACATGGATAAATCTTAAAGACAATGTTGGCCCAAAACAGTCAGATACACATAAAAAAGCCACACACAGCTATATGATTCAACTTATATAAAACTAAGAGACACAATTATCTATATGAATGGCAATCAGAATAGTGGTTACCTATGGCTAGGAGGGAGGTAATTACTGAGAGGCAGTGTGAGGAAGACTTATGTAGTGATTAGTACTATTCTTGATCCTGATCTAGATGGTGGTTACATGCATGTCTTTACTTTGTAAAAGTCACTAAGCTAGACACTTTCCTCTGTAAATAGTTCAATTAAAAAAAATAAAAGATTCCCCAAAAACAATTTTAAAATTCTATCTAGTATTTAGAAAATATATATGTATCAATATGAAAAGATGCCCATGATATAAATGAAAAAGTATATAGTTTTAAAAATATATATTTACATAATCTTCATTCTGTTTTGTATCGTAACAAAAACTTATATATGGCCAAAAATAGTAGAGTGGGAGACTTCCTACACTGCATACTTCTACATTGCTTTTTTAGTCATTCTACAAATATGTATTAATTTATTTTATATTTAGCCTTCCCTTATAAACACTACATACTTTACCAGTTGTTTTATAAACACTGCAATTAAGTTAAACAACAAAGAAGTACAAAAAAAGAAGTTAATTTCAACCTTCCCTCAGCAATTCCACTCTGAGGTAAACAATGTTATCTGTTAATATATGTTGCTCCACGATTTTCTCTATGCATAATTATTAATTTAATAAAATAAATGGAGGTAATAAAGAATATCCTTCTGTCTAGTCTTTTGTGTGAGAGGAAATAAAAAAACTTCCCTGTAAATTTAATGTTTTCATATAATATAGAAAATGAAGTAATAAAGCAGGTAGTTCTTCCAGAAGTACTATGAAAATTAAATATGAATCACAGCGCATTTTTCCAAAGATTTTTCTCGGTTAGCAGCTTACTGATAGGTCAATCTCTCTAACTCATCCTTCTGGGGCTGCTCCATGCCTTTGGAACTTTGGGTGTGCTTGTTGTCAAAAGGCCCTGCAGCTTCTCTTTACTACCAGTTTTTGTGGTTCTCCTTGGGAAAAAAGTTTCCCTAACTCTCCTACTTCCCACTGCTGAAGAAAATACTATTCTCCACAAGTTTTAGCTCCTCAAAGCCTCTTTTCTACCTTTCACAGGGCAGAAGAAAAATCTACATATAATCTTCATATACTGAGACTAAAACTAACCTTTGATTAATTTCTTTCTAAGAAAGTGATCACATTGTATTCAAAGGACAAAAAAGCCTTTTGCAGGCCTCATTCAGATTCTTTTCCGGGCTTCAGCTCTAGCACACTTCTGGTTCCTCACATGCCATGTTCCCTTCCACTAGAGGGCTCTGCACCACTGCCCATTCTGGTCACAGCCTCTAAGTGCAGATTTCAATGCACCCTCTTCCTCCCTGTGAACGGGACACTGCTGACACATCATCTTCATCCTTGCAATGCTGGATACGGCTCTCCAATGCCACTTCAGGGTTTGCTTTGCTAGCGCCCTTACATGTTAGTGTCCCTAGGGTTACATCTTTAAGCATCTTCTCTCTATACACACTCTTCTTTGGTTGCCTCAACTATCATGATTTAAAATAACATCTAAATGCCAGAGCACCAGACTGTTTTTTCAAACCGGTTGCTAGTTAGCTTTAGAATTTCACAGCGGTGTTTAACACAGTAAACTTAATTCATTATCCTCTTCCTTTTAATCTGCTCTTCTCCTGGTGTCCCCATCTCAATTTTATCTTCTACTCTACACTTTCCCCCAACTCTTAAATGCTTACTAAATCGAAACTTTCTCTTCCTAAAATTCTCTTCATGTTCTCTCTCCACCCCTCATTCCTGCAGCTTGGAATCTCAGCCTCTTTTGCTTGGACAACTGAATTAACTGACAAAAAAAAGAACAAACAATTTAAGATTCAAAATTCTAATGATAAGATCCTTTTGAACTGGAAGATCATTTCATAGTTGAAAAAGTGAAACGTGCTTCTTCAAGCAATTTTCTACTTGAGAAATGCAGTCATCTCTACAATTCTCCTTCCACAATTTTTAACACATGCACGCATTTGCCACAAAAATAACTCACAAACATGCAGGGGGGAAAAAAGTCCTTCATCCCAACCCTTCTCTTATTCCCTATCCTAAAGGTATTATTGTTTATTTAGTGTGAATCCTTCCAGACTCTTTCCTATGCATTTGATACATAAAAATGTACACACACACAAACACACACACCCCTAGTTGTTTTTTAAACACACATTTGAAGTTACTCTCTACATAAATAACTTGCATTTCTTACATAATGTCTTAGAATTTTCTCATGCAGTACATTATGAATCTTCATCATTCTAATGGCCACATGGTATTCTATACAATAACCCATTTAAATATTTATCTATTTTGGTCATTTCAGTTGGTGCTAATGTTTTACTATTATAAATGATGATGCAATGAACATTCTATGCATATCTTTGTACATATGAATAAATAATTTAGAGTCGATTCACAGGAATAGAATTTTTA